CTGCACCCCCTGACTCAGACCAACTCTGCTTTGAATTAAAGCATCTATTTTCAACCATGTCCCCATGGTCTGCTATTGGATTCTATTACCAACACTTTTAAGAGCACTGAGCATTTCAGAGCGGCTTTTCCCGCTTTTGTTGGCTTTGGCAAGGGAGGAGGCAGGGAATGGTGCCTGCCAAGACCCTCAGAAGGCAGATCTCCATCCCTCCTGCCAGGAGTGGACATCACTGCTTGGAGGCAGCAATATAGATGAAAACTATCAAGACTAGAATGAGGTGGGGATATCTGAGCCCTCCAGGTTCTTTTACCCCTCTCCCCAGGGCCACAGGCGTCTGAGGGGGCTCCTGCAATCCACTGACAACAAAGTATACCTCAAAACCCAAATTATACCTCCCCTCCTCCAGGGAACCACCTCAGGATGCCTGGAGCACCTGAGCCTTTGGTCAGTGCACAGTGAGTTGTTATAACCACAGCCTTCACTTTCCTTACCCCAGGCCTGCAGGATGTGTCAGGTATCTCAGCCAGAGGGGTTATGAAGTGTTATTACATCAGCCCAAACCCCAAACCTGCACTGCAGAAACAAAGACACGAGCACGCAAAGCCACTTGTTCTCCCAAGGCTAAGAGCCAGGTAACTGCCTGCAAATGGATTTTAATGTCTGTGTTCCCTGTAGACATAACTCCAGGACAGCAACAGAAGTTCCAGGAGGATGTTTCTTATTCCAGGAAACTCTTTGTTTCAGCCACAACCAAGTGTTCCACATAATTTAATAACTGCTGCATTGATTTCTCCTAAATCACCACAGCTCTGTGCTCTGCAGCACTTCTAAAAATTAATACTTTTTTAAAGAGCAGGTTAATTTCTCCTCCTGCTTTAACAAGGAAAATTAACAGGAGATTGCAAGGGGCTGGTGGTGAGGAGAGGGCTGGTTTATGATTAACACGTGTGGTCAGGAGCCCCCATCCAGCACAGCAGATCAAACAAGGCTGTAACTGCATCTTTACAGTATGACTGAAGGTGACCCTGCCTGGGAGCAGGCAATTCCTGCTGGCCCACAGGATAAATCCATCTGACCTGACCTCCTCCCTCCAGCCCAAGCACAAGCCAGATTTTAAGAAGGGGACCAGAGTTCCTCCCAAAGCACAGAGCTGCTTCACTGGGGGAGAAGGAGGAACTGCAGAGTCCCCTGCACACCCACCATGTCCCCAGCTGCACCTTCCCCTGCAGCTGCTCCCCCTCCCAGGTTTATTTCTCAGGGCACATGAAGTCAGCAGAGGAGGTTTCTGTGTGTTCAGCAAAGTCCTGTTCTGGAGCCACAAGCAGCACAAAATTAGGCAAAGGGAAGACAGACTGCCAGCAAAGGCCATCAGAGATAACAAAGAGCTCAGAGGAATTAGGCAGAGTCTGTGTATCAATTAATTCTAAACTGACCAGGGCAGTGAAGTAAAAAGCAGCAGGTATTACATGGCAGGGATGCTCTCCTAGAGGAGGATGCTTTGACTCTGTAAGGGTCTGGGGATAGACACAGCACCCAGGGACAGCACAGGCCAGAGGAGAAGTTAAACCCTCCCAGATTCAATGTTTTATTATGGCAATTAACAGCTCTCACCATCAGTGTCACAAGACAGCACCACCACAGCCACAGTGCCTTTGCAGAACTGCCCACGAGTGCCAGATCCCAACTCAGCAGCACCTGGGACTGCAGGAATAACCAGCAGGAAGGGAGGGAAGCAATAGAAACCAAACCCTGCTTCTCTCAGGACTGTGATTTGTAAGGACACGTGGGCAGCCCGTAGACTTTTCCATAAGGAGATGGCACCATGTGGTTGGGATGAGACTTTGGCTGCAGACAACAGTTCCCAAGACCAGAAATGCTGTCAGACCCAACGTGGCCTCCCAGAACTATTTTCTGAACCTCCACTCAAGCCACTTGTTTATATAAAAAATGCCAACAGATCAGCAAGGATGAATCACCCAGGAGCAAGCCAGAACCCTATTGTGGAGGAAACAAGTTCAAGTTCACATCAGGCTGTTCTGGCCATGCAGTGAAGCACCTTCCCTGCTCAGCAAGGTGAATGGCTCAAACCATTGGAAAATGTGGCAATTCCCACTCTCAGCATCCCCAGGTCAGCACAGCCTTTGCACTCTGCAGGACCAAAACTCCCAAAACAAAACATGGAAGGATGATGAGAGGAAATGCCAATGGCAGAGGAAAAAGCACCAGAACTCCTGCTCTCCAAACTCTACAGCACATGGACAATCACTGCCACCAACAGAAAGGGTTTGCTACACAAATGCCTCAATCATTTGCTCTTTAGACCTTTCAAATCCTTCTTCATTATTCCTCAAAATTCTGGATTCTGCTACGGGAGCAAAGCCAAGAGAACAGCCTGTATCCACGTGTGGAGGCAGCACAAGTCCTCACACAAGCACCTGATCCATTTTGCCTGCCCAAGAACCACAGATTGGATCAGGAATCTCTTACCAGCACCTGCAGCAGACTCCTCATGTTGCCCCTTGGGCTCCACTGCTCTGTCTGGCACGGTTGGACCAGCCCTTGCCACTCCTACCATGGCAGCAGGAAAGTTTGGAAGAGACAGGTACTTTCCTGTACAGCCACCTGGAAAGATGGAACCAGCCAGCTGCTCCCACCCCTCCTGGATGGCATGTTTCAGCTTCCCAAGCCAAATGTTAATATTTAACAATTTGGTGTCTGGGACAATGAGAAATCAGTAAAGTGGAAAACATTGCTGAAGAAAGGACTGGAAAAGCTTCAGGAAACTCCCAGATGGCTCCAGACTGATACCACTGTCTCCAGTTTGAGACCTGCTGCTCCACCAGAGCCAGGCTCCAAACTCTGGCTCCTGTGAGCAGATCTGCAGCTTTTCTCTGGAAGAGCAATGCCTGATGGCTCAGAGACCCCTGGGGTTTATCCATGGCTTCCATGTCAGTGCTCAGTGCATCCTGCTCCAAGTGAGCAGCAGGAGAGACCGTGCAGGGTGCTCCAAGTCCAAAGCTGAGTGTTCAAGAACACTGACCTGGCTCCATACTGCAGAATGAGCTGTTAGAGGATGACTGGAGCCTGAAATTCCCCTTCCAGAGACAGCCCCACAGGTGAAATAACCAAGAGCTGTTCCTTGGCTTCAGGGAGCCCCAGACACAGCCCAGCCCTCAGAGGTACCAACTCCAGCAGGGAACTTCAGCTTGGAAAGCAGAGCTCTAACAAAGCCTGATCCTCTGTTCCTCTATTTCAGCACACACAGGGTGACACATCACTACCCTGTTACCTGTGGAATCTCCAGGGACCAGAGCATGGGCTCACAGGCAAACCATGGAACAGGACAGGAGAGCACCATGAAGCTGCTCTGCTCCTCGTGGGAGCACATGGCACTACCTGGTGGTACAATACCCCAGTGAAGGAACTGGTTTGGCTGTGTTAGGTTCAGAGGACACTTTGCTGTGTCCATACTGGGGGCAAAACACCTCCAGGCACACTGCAATAGGTGCAGTCTCACTACAGAAAGAAAGAGTCCAAACAAAAGCCCATTTGCCTAAAATCAACTCACTCCCATCCATGGCTTCCTCTCCCAAAGGATAAGAGCAGCACGAGAATTATTTCTTGCTCTGGGAATCAGAGGTCATTCATGCTTGCATTGTCTCAGAGCTTCCTGCTCTTTTCTCACCCAGCCAACACAAAGCATCTCCTTTCACAGAGAACCTCCAAAAATCTGCTCCTCCAAGTTGGCTGAGATCAATTTCTGTGATGCAGCAGGGAAGGAAGCTGACTGACCACCGAGATACTAGAAAATACATAAGTTAAAGAAATAATTAAGCTGTTTTCCCGTTGAACTCATCAGCCAAACCCCACCAGACCTGGAGGTGAGACCTGTGGCAGGGACCCCTCTCCCCTTCCCATCACAGCCCCGTAAATGGTCTCACAAGTTGATGAGATCACCTTTCTGCCTCGTTCCTCCCACAATTAATTCTGCAGGAGGCAGAGATCAATGCTCCTGTGATTCAATTATTTATCTGGTTTAATCCAGCCAGAAAACCCTGACCAGCAGCTGCCCAGTGGCTGCCCAGGTGGGTCCCTGATGTGAAGCATGGGGAGCTGGATGGGGGGACCACACCAATGGCTACCCCAAAAAGCACAAATTCCCAGCACCTGCACATCCAAACCTGCAGAAATCAGAGCCCCAAGGAAGGACAAAACCACTCTTTAGCCATACCAAGAAACCAAAAACACAACGAGGGGGGAATTAACACATACACTGGCAGACACCAATGACTGTATTAATTCCTAGAAAGGATACAGCCTGTCCCTTCTTTATTCCAAAGTCAGCTCTGTCATATCAACTACATGCAGTTTTTACTGACTAATCTTACCATAAGATGTTGCCAAAAGCCAGTGCAATGTTCCAAAACCTCCATGGAAAAAGCTCCTTCCCACCCAGAGAGATCCCCAAGGTGAGGGAGGTCTGGGTCCCCAGAGACGCCGAGCGACTCGGGGTCGCCGTTCATTCCTCCCACACTTCAGCTCTGCAAAAACTGACCTGGCTCCACTCTTGGAATGCTAGGCACTGAGTTGATGTAATCCCTGAATATTCACTATTCAGGAATCCATCACTTGTAACCAGTGAGGAAGAACATGCAGCACAAGAGGATTTTGGGAGGGAAATAACCAAAGAGTCTGAAGCGTGTTCAGTTTACACTCTGAGACCTTCCTGCATCCAGGACCCCCCCAGCACTGCCAGTGTTTATGCCAAACACCCCTTTAAAAGACAGAAAATGTTTTACCACAGAGAAGCTCCAACCAAACCACGGATACCTTTCAAATTCCTGGTGTCAGGACTGATCCCAACTGCACACAATTCCTCTCAGGGCTGGACAAATGTATCGCCCATCTCTTCATTTTCCCTCAGTAAGGCAACACTGAAAAGCAATCCCCAGCACTTCAAAGCCTCATTTTTCCCCAAAGACATCAGGAACTGCACTTACCTGAGGAAAATCCCCATTTTTTTGTAAGAAGTCAGTGGGGTCCACAGCTGCATAGTTTGTATCCAAGAAATGTGGTCTGCTGATGGAATCCATATAAAAATCCTGAGGGGGGCTAAAATATTGCCTGTAAGGAAATGGGAAAAGCAGTTACTCCCTGCAGTCCCCAGCACTTCTCAGGTCACTTCAGCCTCTGACAGCAGCGAAGCTGAAACTTCAGGATGTCACATACAGGAGTGGGATATTATTGGATATTATCCAGAAGAGAGATGGCAAAATAATACCTCTACCAGTTCTATCCCACTTCCCAAACTCAGCAGTGTAAGAATGCTGAATTAAGAATATAATTCTTGGCAATTTGTGTAGACCAGGAAGGACTTAATAGACAACAATGGTTTGCAGTACCCAATATTTCAGCCCTGATGACAAAGCAGAATGAAGCCCTGGGATGTCCCAGCATGATGGGTGTGGTGGACCTGCCAGTCACACCATGTAAGGACACGAGCTGCAGGGAAACATCACACCTGAACTGTCAGTTTAGGCCACAAAACCCACAAAACAGCCCTATAAATCAACTCTGACAGGGAAACACCTCTGTTAACCCACCTGGACAGGGGCTCACCACTCACAGACCCCAAAGGCAGGTCAGAGTGGAGGGGTTGGTGCCTGGGAAACACAGACAGAACTGTTACCCAGTGAGAGGAACTAGGGATGTGACTGGTGTGAGTTCAAAAGCAAGATCTTTGCTCAGCTAACAAGGGAACAAAGCAAAGATCCTGCCTGCTCCACCAGGGCAGGGCCATGCCAGCTTCCTCCTGCTCCCTGCACCCAGCATCCGCTTCCTCCAGGCAGCCAGGGGAAAAAACTGCACAAGAGCAGCCAATTTCCTTCCTCCTGCCCAGGAGCAGCCCCTGGCCTCTGCTCCACGCCACCTCCTGGTTTGCACAAGCCCTTTCCTTCTCCTGCAGGAGCAAGGAATGTGCTTGGTAATCCTTCCCGTAAGGGGCCGTGCTCCTGCTTGGGCGATTGCCAGCGCCTCCCTGGGCTCCTCGGGACATCCACCCCGGCGGGATGGTTTCCTCTTGTGGGCAGCTGGATGTTCTCCCTGATGCCCAAAGAACCCACGGCCAGAAACTTGAAAAGGGTGCTGAGAGAGGGAGAAACAGAGTTTGAACAGAACTCCTGCCCAGGAGCTGGGAATGCCAAGCTGCCAAAGGATTATTAAGCAATTAAGGTGCCATGTGTGGCCAGCAGCTCGTTAATGCACCCGGTGAACATTTACATGTGGATTCATGTGCAAACACAGTTATCTCCTCTGATAAATACATTTTCCTGCTCGTTTCCCATCACTAAAGACAAAACCCTCAAAAAGGAACAGCTCTTTCCTCCTTTCCTTTTTTTTTTCTTTTCTGTTCTGCCAGGGATTTACCTGCTGCAGAGACACCTGAGACCCTGTGTGAACACAACCTGCACATCCCAGTTCCCACAGTCCATCCCTGATTGTTAGCTCTTTGTAATCCATCCAAGGAAATTAAAATCTGGGCATAAATTCTGGGAATTCATTATTTCCACACAGGAAAAGCCTGGTTTAAAAGGCTTTCAAGCCGAGGCTGCTGTGGTCTCGCCATCTCTCACACGAGGACACAGCTTGGAAAGCATCAAGGAACTAACCAAGGAATAGGAAATGTATTTTTACTGGAAAAGTGAACACCCTCTCCTGTTCCCCTGGCACTTTGTGGCCCGGACAAGGGTCAGTCAAGGTAACGAGAAAGAGAGCAAGAGAGCTCCAACCTCACTGGCCTGCCCAGGAATGACCAGCTCTGCTTGATATTTTGTTATCCTTAATCTTGGTGTTCCAATCTGCCCATGTAAGACACATTTGGCTGCTGCAGTTTGCAGGGAGAGCCCACAGCAGCTCCAGGCACCGCTCCGAAACCCTCCTTGGAAAGCCCCAAAATCCCTTCAGTACCTTTGGAGCTGGGCTTTACCTTCCCTCGACTCAGAACTCAAAGGTGTCTCCTCTCATTTGCAGGGCTGGCACAGAGCCATTGAAAAGTTTGCTTGAAATAAATTGAGGCAAAAACGCTTTAAACTGGAAGAATCAGGTCAGTGAGCCTGTCACAGCCAAGGTGTGAACACTGCCCTGTCCCCACCTGCTCAGCCTCTCCAGGGCTTAGTTCCTGGTAAACTGCTCCATGGAAGCTACTGTGGGTCACAGCTTCCCTCAGATGCTGAGGGGCTTCACTGGACAATCAAAAACCGTTCCAGAAAGGAAATTTATGCTGGTTTAATCACACCAGCTGCCCAAAGAGGAACGCTCCGTTGCAATTCCGCTGCATTCCAGCTGCTCATCCGTGACCCAATGCATCCAAAGCCCTTCTGGGCCCACACTGCCACTTCTCTGAGACCTCCCATGAGTGTTTTGGCCAGGCTCCATCCTCTGTCCTCCACTCAGAGATGCAAACTTCTCATCTCAAGGCAGTGGAAGATCAGGGAGAGCTGAGAGGTCACAGGCTGCCCCGGCACTAGCCTGGCACTTTCCTTCCTCATCAGACACCAATCCATGTTTTTCAGAGCCTGCTTTATTTCAGCGAGCAATGCTTCATGCAGAGATGGAAAAGGGCCTAAAAACAGCAAGAAAACTGGGGACAAAGCTTTGCTGCAGCTGTGTGACACTCATCCAACAGCACAACTGGGCTGCCCCAGATCCCCCCCAGCCAGGAACGTGCTGAGCCTCCAGCAGCAAGGGAAGCTGAGCTCTGCAGGGATAATTTCCTCAGAAAAGAGCTGAGCTGCTGCTCTTCAGTGCTCTGAACCTCCCTGGTTCTTTCAGGGAGGCTTAATGCACTGTTGACATTTGTCAGGTTAAGAAAATCTGATCCCAAGAGGCCACATTTGGGGTCTTCTAAAGAAATTCCCCAGCATGAAAGTGAGCTCCTGAAAAGAAACAGGAAAAACCTGCTTCAGGATAAAGGTGTTGCTATGAGAATAAGCCCTGTCCAAACACAGCCACTTGCAAATGAGATTTCTCTGTAAGGATTCTGAAGAAAAACGTGCGCCACCTCTAAAGCCAGCTGCATTTTTTCATGTTACAGCATGGGCTACAATTACAACTGCCTTTAAAATCCCACTTCTCAATGTTTCCATTCCTTCCAGGATTCCTACCTGTAACCCCCTCACCCTAAATCCACCTAAAACAGAGTCAGTGCCATTTTCAAATACAAAAAGCACAGACTATTTTTTTTTAAATGTGAAATGCAGATATGGAAGATCTCACCTGAAGGGTGATTTTTACACCTCCTGGGGTATGAAGAACAAGAAGCTAAAGGTGCAGCCTTGGCTAAATCATTCCCTAGCAAATCATTACTACAAGGGGCCTCATTTCCAGAAGTAACTCCAGCAAAGGCAGCAAGTCCAGGTTTGTGTCAGACACAGGCATGTCCTTGCAGGATCAGGCTGTAATGTTCCCGGCAGCGCTGGTACGAGCGGCACCGAACAGGAAGAGAGTGAGGGGCAAAGCCAGAACAAATGGTCAAGAGGAAAAAAAAAAAAAAAAAAAAACCCCAATGCAATAGATAAACACAATCTAATCTTGTGGTTCAATGCAGCAAAACAGAAATTCTGTTATAGCTCTCCGGAGGATTCACAACATGTAATTTACAGGAATCCTGCTCAAAAAGCACAGCCCCTTCCAATCAGCAAGGCTGGCCAAGAGCAAAGGGCCTGAATGGATCTGAGAAGTCTCCTGTTCTCCTGTGGGGAGGAGCTGGCACAGCCCAGCTCCCTCAGCACCTGTGGGGCAGCTTCTGGTACCCTCTCATGGGGGACTGCCCTGTGCATCCCCCCCGTGCTGCCAGGCAGCTCCTGCTGTGGCCAGAGGGGACCAGGGCCACCACAGGGACAGGAGTCCCCTCACCCCCTGGCAGAGGGGCTGATCCTCACTGCTCCTATCTGCCTGGAACTCACACCCTCACAGGGAGGGATCCCACCATGGAGATGCCATAATCCCTTTATGAGGGAGGTTACATTAAATCTCCAGTTTAATGCCAGGCACATGGAACACAGTTGTTAGCTCAGGATGTCAAATCCTGCTTCTTTCAGTTTTCCTTCCTCCCACCTCTGACCTAGATAAAGGAACACATCCTGTGTGCCACTCCCTGGATTCACAGAGACCAAAGAAGCCATGGATCAGCTCAAACCCCCAGCCCCACCAGAGTCCCCATCCAAGTCACCCAGTGATGGCACAAGGCCACTTTATGTTGTCCAAACATGTCATATCCCACCTTGTGGTCCAGGATGAAGGTTCATTGTAAAGGGAAAATGGAAAACAAAATTCTTCAGTACAGACATGACATGGTTGTTAATGTCAGTCACTTCCAGTGACATGGCAAAGGATTTTAACATCACCCAAAACCTAATACCCAGTACAGGTAACATCTTCCTCCACATCTGTGCAAAGCTAGAGATTGCCCAGTGTTTGCTCAGTTGGATCTGCTAAGAATTCCATTAGTGTTACAAATCCAGGCTAAACCAAAGCTTGTTTCTCCCTTACTGCAGCCTCCAGGTTTAACAGAAAACAAAGGTTTTTTCTCATTTTTAAAAACAAAAAGCTGTCTGCTGCTGTTCCCAAGCTGCAGCAGCGTCTGAAATGCCACAAGATCAGCAGAGTGATGCAATTATTTCCCCATCAGATCGTGAAATAAAGTAAACATGGAAAGCAGCGAAGAAACAGTTGAATCACGGGGTGTGCAAGAGCAGAGGGGATTAGACAAAGGAGAACAGCACTCACTGGTTTTCACTTGGGAAAGATGAGGTTGGGAAAGAGACTGGGTAGCAGCTGCTCCATGAGTCGGCGGCCAGCATGGAATTCTGCAAGCAGAAGGCACAACAGTTAGAGCAGCAGAGGCCTGGAACCATCACTTGGGGCTGCAGGTACGAGGGCAGGCCCTTGGCTTCCCTCCCTCTGTGCTTCCCAGAGGCAGAGGTGGCTCCTTGTCTCTCGAGCAGGACTCCAGTTTCAGCTTTGGAACCTACTCCCCCCTACCACTGTCCCCAGAGGGTCACCAGGGTCAGTCCCCTTCCCCAGCCCTTTCACAGGACACTCTGAAGGGACAAGAGGAAATGGCATCAAGAGGAAATGGCATCAAGCTGCACCACGAGATGTTCAGGCTGGACATCAGGAGGAATTTATTTGTGGAAAGGGTAGTCAGGCATTGGCAGGGGCTGCCCAGGGAGGTGGTGGAGTCCTCATCCCTGGAGGTGAACAAGGAAGGACTGGATGTGGCACTCAGTGCTCTGGTGTGGTGACAAGGTGGGAATCAGTCACAGATTGAACTTGATGACCTTGAAGGTCCTTTCCAACCTCAGTGATTCCATGATTCTGTGATTCAGTCTCTGTGGGATGTCAGCACCAAGCCAATAACCTGAAATTGGCCAGCAGAGGTCACACCTAAAAATGTCCTTTTGTGCCTTTTGTCTTCTCACTTCGAAAAAAAGTCTGCAGTTAATGGCAAGGTCTTAGCTCAGCTCAAACCAATAAAATCAGGGAGAGAACACAGTATCTCCTTACTCAGCTCCACAGCAGCCTTTAATCTGTTCTTTTTGTGTCCAAAGCAATGAAATTTTGTACTTGAAGCAAGAGGAACTCAGGCCTCGCTTGAACCTCTGTGTCCCTGCATGTGACACATTCCAGAGTTTGAAACAGAAAGAGAAAACTCCAGGAACACATCAGCTATTTTGGGACAGGGTTTGCTTTTTGCCCTGTTGGACAAATGCATCAGGGACCTGGTCTGGTTTTAGCAGCTATATCAGGACAAATACAACTTATTTATCTCTGCTGCTCTGGAAACAGGGACAGCTGGACCCGGGCACAGATTCACACGCCTGGCAGAGATGTGCTGGGGTAGGAACAAGGTCTGCAATCCTGGGCAGATTCTCTCAGTCTCTTCAGTCCTTCCTCAAGGAGCTGGCAACCAGCAGCTTTCAGAGAGGCTTTGTTTTAATCACAGCCCTGCTTTTCCCTCCTCACTCCAATCCTGCAACCCCCTGCGCAGCTGCCTGGGAAGTCTGGAAATTGCTGCTGTAAACACAGACCAGGACTCCCAGGATCTACCAGGCCAGACTGCTCTGCCCAGACCCCTCCTGGGCACAGCCTCCCCCTCCCCAGGATCTGCAGGGTCTCACCTCCACATCCGGCACGGCGAGCTGGGAGCGGAGGCCAGGGATGCCGCGGACGGCATCGCCCGGCTGCTGGTGCTGTGGGAAGCTGTTCCCCCCATCCATGGTGGGGTGAGAGCATCAGCCCGTGTCCTGCCTCATGGAGTCCTCAGGAGGGTGGGACAGGCTGTGGAGTGACGGGTGGTGGCAGCGTCTTTAACTGTGCTCTTCACCCTGCACCATGTCCTGGGCTGGGAAAGAAAGGCACGTTTAGGTTTTGTGAAAGGAGAGGTGGGGGGAAAAAAAAAAACCTACTTGTAAGGTTAAACATAGCTTAGAGATGAGCAAACAGCCACCAGCCTGTGAAATGCTGCTGCCTCTTCTGAAAAGAGAGGGTTTTATGGGAAACAGAGCTCTCCATTACCACCACACCTGGAATTCACCCAGGCTGGAACTGGAACACACCTCTCCTGCCTTTCACACGAGGAGCCTGCAGGTCCCTAAGATCACCCACAGCTGGGCTCAGCCTAAGGAATTTGCTTATCTAATGTAAGAAGACTCTACACTCCTGTGTAAACTCACGGTAATCAATTCCCCCAAATCACCTGTTTTTTCCAAAAATACGCTCTGGAGGTGGGACACTGCTGAGCCAGCAGTGAACCCTCAGCTCCCACCCCGTGGCACACTGGGGTCTCCCCAGCTCCAAGGCAGATGTTTCTGTGCCTTTCCCACGCCAGTCAAACCCAACAATACCTTGCTACACATTTGAAATTAATAGTATTAAGACCACAAATTCCTGAATTTATCAGCTTCTGGCACTTTACCTTTTGCCAGCAAAAGGGGATCCAATGCAGGAGCATTGTCCTGGCAGGATTAACTCCACAGTAACACCCTGCCTCCAGGGCAGCTTCTCAGTCAAAACCACCAAACTGATTAATTTTCTTCTAAATTCTCCATAATCCCACAGGAAACCAATTTCCAAGTGGATTTAATGGATTAAAATAAAAAAAGAGATGGTGAAAGCAACCTACACAACCAGAGGAGCAGAGAAAAGCATCCACAATGTCTTTACTTCCACTGAATCTTTCTTTGTCGCTTCCTGCCTTCCTCCCCAGAAGCTGAGGAAATCAAAGTGGCCAAAACCTCTGGATGGAGCAATCCAGCCACACACAACACCTACAGACACAGACCAAAGCTGTAATTTAAAAGAGCCACCTCTGATCATTCAGGACACACTATTTGCTACTAGAAATATTTTTGAAAAGCCATTTCTGACTCCGAGGCGCTTTAAAAATAAGTGACCTTGAGGTGGACAAAATGACTGCAGCATTTGCAATGGAAAGTGAAATTAAAGTGACTCTTTCTGCCTTTCCGTGGTGCCACAGCTGTGCCAGCAGTGCCCTCTGTGTAGGGTTCATGTGGGGGCTGCAGGGACCAGCCAGGACCCCCAGCCAGGACCCCTGAGCCTGGACACTGATCCTACAGTGGAGTCACAGGCAAAGCCCTCAAGTGCCAAGGATGTTCTGTGTGAAAAGCAGAGTTCAGCAGTCACATCCCACCTATGGAATGCTGCGTAGAGCTCCCAAAGGGATTATTTGGGTTTTGGTTTTCTTGTAGGGAGAAGGTCACCCTTTTCTATTTTGCAAAGATTCCCTTCTACTCCTGCTCAGCTTTACCCAAGACAGGGCTGAGCTTTGCTGGTCTCAGGGTCAACGTCACCAACTGCTCTGTGTCTATAAAATCCTGTGACTCTTCCTTACACCAGACTTCAGGGGTTTTGCTGCTTTTCTTTTTTTTTTTTTCCTCTACTTGCAACAGATTTTGAGAGGAAATCAGCAGCAGTGATTCCCGTAAGAGCCATAGCAAATATACAGCTTTACTTACATATCCAAAGGAACTTAGGAAGGGTAAAATCAATATCAGTATCCCTCCGTGCCTGCTCTGCATTAGGTCGTGTCTCACACCACCAGATCTCACTGGTGGGCCCTGCAGAGCAGAGGCTGCCTCTAAAGCAGCACCAGCTCCCTGGGAAAACTGAACAACAGATCACACCCCACTGGAAAAATGAAGGAAAACTGCTTAGCAAGAAAACTGGAATCTCTGGACCTTGGTTTGTGGGGGGCTGTAGTGCAAAATACACCCAAGCACTGAAAACAGGGGGGGAAAGAGGCACCAAGAGACCACTCCACAGCTGGTACCATTCCAGCCACGCTTCAGTCCTGGAGGATGCTGAGGGAACTCTTTACCCCAGGAGAGCGGCACCAGCACTTACTGGACACCCCAAAATCCAACCTGCACCTGCCAAATCTTTGTGCTGCAAAAAGAGTTCCTGGTGATGAACATGGAGGCTGACCCAGCTCTCACTCTGATCACACTCCAGTGCCAGGGGCTGCTGTCCAGTTTACACTCCCAAATTCCAAGAAAGAACTAAATAAAACACTCATTAAATCCAGAGTTAGAGACTTGCATGAGCCTGAGGACAGCAGGACAACACCCAGCACAAGAACAGAGAAGTGGGAACAGCCCTCAGTTTGTGCCTATCCCGCCATCCTCCAGGCAGCCACACCACGGAAAACCATAAAAATCAGCAAGTTCCAAAGTGCTTCCACTTCCACATCCCATCCTGCTGCTGCGAGAGTAAACACTGATTACACAGAGGCCCACACACGTGAGGGAACCGCTGTAGCAACTTTTTAAGTGATTTTCCACCGCTTCTCTTACCAAACATACTCCGACCAAGCAGCAGCTTCCGCTGTTATGGCAAATCCCCAGAGACGAGGCTCCCGGTCCCAGCACTCGTGTTGGGAGAGGGCTGGGAGAGCAAAACCCAGCCCTCAGCGGCAGCAGCAGCACACAGAGACCGTTCCCAACTTCAGTCACGTCTCCTTGCAGCAGCACTATGGAAGAGCAGCCATCCCCCAGATCCAGAGGGAGGACACGACCCTAAAAATCCCACTGGACATTTTCCTTCCTGGCCGGGCAGCCCAGGTTTGAAAGCGAAAGCAGCTCCCTGCACGGGATGACGAAGCCCCTGAGTGATTTCATCCTATCACTGAGCTCCAGAACAGTTTCAATATTCCAAACAGTTTGCTTAAAGGTTTGCTGTCAGCAGAGGGACTAAGGAGCAGCTCCAGCCTGGAATTCCTCTGGAAGGAATTCATCATGTCTAGAGGTTACAGAGCACAATTTTCAGCTTTTAACAGCTTGAGCTTTTTAGGCATTTCTCAGACCGGCACTCCAGCAGGAAAATTCCAATTGGGAACACACAAAGAATTGCTGTGCTGTAACCAGGATGGACAGAGATGGGAGTAAGGGCTTGGATCACTGATAACTGCGATCAGGAGAGGTGAAAACAACCCAGTAAACGCAGCCAGCACTTCCTCCTGTTGTGTTCCACCCTTTGTTGGTGTATTTTAAATTGCCTCCATTAAAGGAACACAGCCAGAAACCCACAGACATGCCTGGAGCAGCGGGAGCTAAACCTGCCGATCATGAATTACCACGCGCTGGGAACAACAAAAACACCTTGGGAATGTGATCCTGTTCTTCCTCCTGCTCAGGGATCAGTTCCCCTCACTCTGCCCACCCTACAGAGCAGAGGAGGAGCCCCAAAATGTCCCCACCTTGCTCTACCCACTCATGAGCCCCCAGCACGGGCACCCACGGGAGCTGCAGCTGGAGGGAATTCTGCGGGATATGGTCTGGATGTAACGGCCCCAAAGAAATGGGAAGTCAACCCTACGGAACTCTGAACAGCCAGTTTTACTTCTCAAGCACCCAGGCACCTTCAAGTTCCTCTTTCATGCTTCTCCTTGACGTATTTTTGGGAAGTTTAGACCAAACAATCAGATGGGAATAGGACTCGGTCCCGCCACCAACACAAAGGAGAACACCAGAGCAGAAAACGCGTATTGTGGGTGATGAAAATGGAATTGCTTCAGGGCATCCTAAGCCAGCACTTTGAGCCACCCTGATCTCCTGAATGCATGGAAAAGGCTCCTGGGACACAAGCATTGCAGCCCTGGAGCTGGGCACAGCACTGCCAGGCTCCAGGGCAAATCCCAGAGCACCTGAGCACCACAAGTCAATGCAGAACAATCCACGCAGCCAATTAACTGTGGGAATTAGTCTGTAAGGAAAGGGAAGAAAAATCTGGATCGTTCCAGAGATTCTTGCAAGAGCTGTGGCAGTGAAGGCAAAAGAACTAATCTGCCCTCCAAGGACAGCAGAGTTTCTACAGGGAAGAGCTTGATGCTTCAAGAAGTACTTGCTGCTCCTTGTCTGACACTCAGACCATATAGGGGAAAACCAATCAAATACAGCTTTTTGGAGGGAAAAGTCCCTTTTAGGAGAAAATATTAACTGCCCCCCATAGGTAAATTCCACCTATCCCTGCTTTTCCACCTGGGAGAACACATAGGACTATTTCTGGACAGGGCAAAAACGCCTCCAGACACCACCCATGCTCTGCCAAGGAACTCGGCACGTTCCTGTGTAAATCCACCCAGCACCAACATTCCCAAAGCACAAACACATCCCTGCAAGGCAGAGGCAGTGGCTCAGACATGGGGTCATGGAACATTCCCAAAATCAGGGCTTTGGGCATCCCCCCAGCACAAGGCAGAGCCTGAGCAGGGCACTCAGAACACTGGGGCTGCTCCCCTTCCACAAAGAACTTGGCCAAGCAAGGTCAGAAGCCAAAAAAATGCAGGTCCCAAATTCCTTACATTTTTTCCCCAGTTTCTCTCCTGAGAGACACTTAGGAGAAACCCTCTGGACCTGAGCAGGTCCCAACGTTCTGTTTCACACACAGCCACTCACGGTAGAAAAACCACTCCAGGACATCAAAGCAAACTTCCCCACGGATTAGGGCAGCCTTAAGGCAGACTCAACGCGCACCTGCTCCGTGAGAGGCGTGTGCTCACTTTGATCACACCCACACTTGTGCAGACCTCGGTTGTGTAACCAAAAAAGGCTTAAGAGTTTTAAGTTTTAAACAGAAAAATGTCTCAGGAGAGTATAAACCTTTCCTGAAGGATCCAGACTCTTATGGTGACAAGTCACAGCGTGGTTTGCTCCTGTGCAGAGACCTCCCAGGAACATTTGAATGAGACCGGTACAAGCTTATTTTAGGAAAATGAGGGTGTAAACACCCAAAAAACAGACCCCCATGAAGTAAAGAGCTTTTTACAGAGATAGCAGAGCTCAGGCTTCCAAAAGCTCCAGCTGGCAGCTGATGGAGCTCTGCAAAACCTGGCAGTGCTGCACGGGACACGCAGCACTCCCAACCCCACAGCAACAGTATTAGCACTCCATTTTCCACTTCAACATTCCCACCACCAGCTGCTCTTGGTTCAGCCATTCCCACATGGCTCAGGACGAGCTCAATGCTCAGATGACACGAGGATGATGTGCAGCAGGAACAGCCCCAAAAAGGCACAGCCAACCTCAGCCAACACCCTCCTGCCCTCCAGACTCACCCCAGGACCAGAAAACCCTCTGGGGGCTTGGATCCCAGCTTTGGGATGCCGGTGCTGAACCTGCAGGACCTGCCCTGCCCAGCCTATCTCATTTTCACTGTAAATCAAGCCTGCTAAGGGGGGAGCCACAGTCCTTACACTGGAACTTACAGTTACTTTGAGGAGTTTTAGACCTGGCATTAGTATTTAATAATGTGAAGCCTCTGGTATCAGCCCAGTTAATGGTCTGACAGCACTGGTTCCGTGTTGCAGAGACTCTGAATTGGGCCAGTATGGGCTGCACCACAGCAGGAGCTCGGTGCATGATGGATTCATGGCTCCACACTGACAGAGAGGAAGTTTGGATCAGATATTAGGAAATCCCTCCCTGTGAAGATGCTGAGGCTCTGGCACAGAGAAGCTGTGGCCGCTCCATCCCTGGAACCCAAGGCCAGGTTGGACGGGGCTTGGAACACCCTGGGACAGTGGAGCGGGGTGCAGGAGAAGCAGGGCTCGGAACTCGGTCTCGGTGGGAGCCGGCAGGGTGGCCCCGAGTGATGAACGGGTAGAGAAGCCCGCGGCTCCGGAGACCGGGAAAGGCCCGGGGCCGAAGGAACCCCCGAGGCAGAGGGAGCCTCCGGGGCCGCCTTCCCCCGCCCGGCCCCTCGCCCCCGTTCAGGAGCGGGCGCTGCCCCCGAGCGGCGGGTCCTGGCCCACACCCGGCCCCGGGACTGCCGGGGGGCTCCTGTGGGTGCCAGCACGGCCCATTCCACAGGCTTTGCATCGGTGCTGATGTGGAGTGCTCGCCTTTCATTCCTTGTCTGTCCATCCATCCCTCCACCCATCCATCCATCCATCCCTGCGTCCATCCCTCCACCCCTCCATCCATCCATCCATCCATCTCTCCATCCCTCCACCCCTCCATCCATCCATCCATCCATCTCTCCATCCCTCCACCCCTCCATCCATCCATCCATCCATCTCTCCATCCCTCCACCCCTCCATCCATCCATCCATCCATCTCTCCATCCCTCCACCCCTCCATCCATCCATCCATCCATCTCTCCATCCCTCCACCCCTCCATCCATCCATCCATCCATCCCTCCCTCCACCCATCCCTCCACCCATCCATCCAACCCATCCATCCATCCCTCTGTCCATCTCGGGGCAAACCAAAGTCCTGGAGCAGCCTTGGCTGCACACACCATCAGCACCATCAGGCTCCGCAGCCTGAGCAGTCTGTCCAGTCCTTTTCCTCTCAAAAGAAAAGGAGGTTCCTCACTTTTCCTCCCTTCAGGAGCCGGGCAGCAGCTCAATGCACAGAGGACACAGGAGAGCTGGAAACACTCAAACCCTGAGCAGCTTCCAAGGATTCTGCCCACTCCCATGCCACGAGTCCTGCTGTAGGAATTAAATGAATCACAGGGCTGGAGAATGACCTGCTCTGACCATCTCAGGCTCCTCACTCGTTTTCCCCTCACTGGGCCTTTTAATATTTTTAATTTCCCATTGCTTGCATTGGATTTATGCCACTTTTGCAGTTCCACAGTAAGAACAAAATCCCGAGGGGTCACACAAAAGCCTCCTGGATGTGTCTGTTTTTACACCAGCGCAGCAGCAGCCAGAGGGAACCGATTTATCCCCAAGAAGGGAAGTACTGGCAGATGGGAACCACGTTAACTCCGGGTCCTTGGGAACACTGGGTGTGTGCCAGAGGCAAAGGGGGAACCAGGAAGGTCTGTGACAGTTCCCTTCTCCCCCTGCTAATCCTATCCTTCATTCATTTGCATATAGTAATTAATCAAGGCAATCCTGTCACGTTTTACCTTCTTACACCCTTCTTACAGGGATCCTTCTTTTGAATCCCCCCCAGCTCTTTATTTGGTGTTACATAAATACAAATAAATAAGCACAGTGGGAGAACACACAGGGATGCATCCAGCACCAAATCAGCCTCCTCCCAGAGCCACCAAACCCGGTTTTCCCTTACCAGGATCTCTTCCTCCTCCCACCCCAGCCTGGATCCCAATTCACACAGGAAACCCCAAGACAGGCAATGAAGCAGAAGCGATGCTGGGCTGGGAGCACTGGGGCTGTCCTGTGCCTGCACTGGTGGGAGATGTGGGGACATGGCTGACTTGTGTCCTGCTCTGTTTGCCCCTTTACAGGAGCAGTGTCCCTGAAAAACAGCCTGGCTTCTCCAGGAACAGCCCTTCCTGAGCAGCTGGTCCCTGTAAGACACCCAGTCCCAGGAAATGGGGACAAAAATGGGAGTTTTTGGGCCCTGATCCCATGGGCGCAGCTGCAGAGCCGCTCCACATTGGGGTGTGCCCAGCTGCTGTCACCCACTGCCACTTCCTGTTTTTTCCCAGAGCCTGGAAATCCCCTGACTTTCCGTGG